TTTAGGAATAAAATTCATAACGCATCCTGATACACACAAATCACAAGACAGCCCTTATAACACATTAACCACCTGGAGTTTACCTTGAGAGGGTTTCGAGGGTCAACATCCCCGCGGCCCTGTCTGAGACCAGGCTTCGTGGTGGAACAGGGTCTGATCAACCAGGCTGTTACTGCTGGCCTCAAGTAAGCTGACGAACGAACCACAGCCCTGCTGGTCAGGTACTGGCTTTAGGTGCCTGTCCAGTGCCTTCTTGAAGACAGCCAAGGGTCTATCGGTAATCCCCCTTATGTAAGCTGGGAGGCAGTTGAACAGTCTTGGGCCCCGGACACTTAATGTGTTGTCTCTCAGTGTACCCGTGGCGCCCCTGCTTTTCAATGGGGGAATGCTTCATCTCCTACCGAGTCTTTTGCTATCATAGTGAGTGATTTTCGTGTGCAAGTTTGGTACTAATCCCTCTAGGATTCTCCAGATGTACATTATCATGTATCTCTCCCGCCTGTGTTCCCTTCTCCTGTATAAATTACTAAATTATGAAAAAAAAAAACTTTCGTTTTTCTTTTCATTGCACCCTGCCTTGGTGGCATTCGACCAGTTCGTTGAAATATAGATCTAGTAGATAAATTCAATAAGATGGTTAACTTAACCACGAAACTGAGATATCCCAGGGAATTTGTTGAGAAGGCCCTGTTGTTAGCTAGGACTTTCTACAGAACTGAACCTAGAGAAATACCCGTTATGAAAAATGTACTGGTTTCACCTAAATAAAAATTTTGGCAGCCTGCTGAGTCGCTAAAAGTTCCTAAAAAACATTCCCTTCAAAAACAATGGGACAGTAAAAACAGGTTAAGACCACTTTTTGGGAAAAATGGTAAACCCTTGGGAAAAAAGGTTTACCCAGACATCATAGTTAATTGGGGATGGGCCGTAGTCGATGCTGAAGATTTCCAGCACCCACGGCTTGTTTGCATTGTTAAGATCCCCGTCTGAGACTGTTTGCGAAATTTGTATACAATTTTTTGTTCTTTTATTTAATGTTAAGTCACTTCCTTTCATTCCCAGGTTGTGCGAGTGGAAATACCAAGCGGAGGAATTTTTTTCTGGATCAAGGTTGTGGTATTATATTACGAGACCCCATATATATGTCCAAATACAGTCCCATCTAATACCATATTCACAAAAAAAACGAAATTTCCCTCTTAATAAACTGTTCTTAAGGGATGTACGCCTTCAGTGAATGCAGTGTCTGACAACATCCCATTTTAATGACCCAGGTGCATTTAATGATCCATTGCCTCTTAAGGAATGCAGGCTATAATTTAAAAAGAAATTTAGTAAGTACACGCTGTCTTTAAATGGCCTGGGTCTTAAGATAAAAATCAGTCTTTTAGTGACACTGTGTCTTTAAATTTTAACATGCATCGTCATATCGGTCATTAAGTGGCACTATAGTACTGAATGGAGTCAATTTGGAGTGGCAAAAAAAACTACTAAAAAGGCCTACATCTTTTGAGAGCACTACTGTTTGGGGTATTAAAATTATTGCCTCATCATTCCGCCTCTTTCCCCATTCCTGACCCCCTTTTTCTCTAAACCCCCACTACACCCCTCAGTCCCCCACTACACCCCTCAATCCCCACACTCTCTCTTTTTTTTCTGCCCCTCCCACAACCCTAACTCCCAATGATTTTAACCATTTTTCCCTTTCTGCCCTCCCAGTACTCCCCCCAGCCTATCACCCCACCACCCGTTATCCCCCACGACTTGCCGCTATCCAAAACCACCTGCAAGTTTCCCATCACCTCCACTACCCCAACCAACTGCAAGTTTTCCCCATCCCTCCCACACCCAACCACCTGAAAGTATTCCCCCCCTACCACTAGCCAAAAACCCCTAGCACTACCTAATTTATCTACCACGTTTTCCTCCAACTGCCATTATCCAACCATCACCACTATCCTCACCCTAAAACATTCCCGGGTCGGGAAAGGGACTCCCCTTGAGAACCCCTTTCCAAATGCTCCTAAACCTGTGAAAGGGAAAATATACTTTTCCCTGTGGCTGCGGGTTTTGGGGGTGGGGGACACCAGGGGAAAAAATGAGGGGCTTCCAGGGGGGTGTGGTGCGAGCCTGGTGCTACTTTGTGGTCGGGGGGGAAAACCTTGTCCCTTTTCGGGTTCCCTACTCCCGCTCCCCGGAAAAGGGGTGGACAGGGTGGGTTTTTTTGGAGTGTGTGTGTGTGGGGTTGTGTTGTGTGTGTGTGTGTGTGTGTGTGTGTGTGTGTGTGTGTGTGGTGTGTGTGTTGTGTGGTGTGTGGTGGTGTGGTTGTGTGTGTGACTCCCCTATTTGTTTTTTACTATTTATATTTGTGGGGTCGCTTCATACTCCGGGTCTCCCTCTATTTTTGGGCCGTATGATTTACCTCCATTTTCCCCATTTCCCCAAATTGTTCCATTTTCGATGAAGAAATATTTTCCTAACACCCCCGTGACTCAGCCGATTTTTCAACATCCAGCTGTTACCCTTTGCTGCTGTGTTATCTCTGAAACATTTAGTCTCTAACCACCTTATCAATACCTTTTGTATTTTAAATGAGTTATCATGTCTAACCTATCCCCCCTGCCCTCCAGTGTCATCAGGATGTTTTCCCCTTACCTTTCCTTTAGAACCCCACCCTTCTGCTTCGGGCTAGTCTTGTTAAAAACCATTCATTTTAAATATTTTCTTGACGTATTTGACTGGGGGGGGGGTTTCCCATTTTGGCGCTTCATACTAAATATGGCCTGATGTACATCTGTTCAGTTTTTTTAAATGGCTTTATTAGATGTTGAATGCTATGTCGGTTTGTCACGCCCTATGCTGCAGCAGTTATTTGACTGATTTACACAAAAGAGTGTCGTTATGATCTCATCCAAAGACCCTTTTTCTTTGAGCTTTGCACCCAAAGTCGGATGAAGTTTTGAAAATCTGCCCAGATCTCCTTGTTTGCTTACCTGATCCTCGGCCACCTATATTCCTCGTTATTTCACATATCTGCAACAGGGACCCTGAATCTTCCCTTTGTTATGTCTTCCATGCATTAGAATCAGCACGGGGCCCAGGACTGACCTTGGGAACCCCATTCCAAACAAGCCCTACCCAGACACCCATCACGTAGAAAACATTTTAATTCTGCCAGGGGGGTTTTCCCCGAACCACTGTTTTTATTTCGCTGCTATTCCCGCCCGCTCCCCCTTTTCAACCCGGTTTTTTGTGTTACTGTACGAAAGCCTTCTTAAGTCCCAAAAGAGCCCGTTACCCATTTTTCTCTTCCTGTCTTTTGTTTTTTATCGTATAATCCCGTACGTTTGTGGTAGGTTTCCTTTCCCCAATCCTTGTGGTTGTCATGAATGAGCCCGTTCCTTTCTTGTGCCCACTACTTATCTCATGATAAAAGCCTAACTTTACATATTATACATTTATGCGATAAATCTGTAGTTTAATGTGCCTGTGGGGCCCCTTTCCCCCAAATTTGACAAAATTTCCCAATCGTTTACCCAAGGGTTGCTTATTTCAATAGATTTTTTGAAGATTTCCCGTTAGTGGACACACGTGCATTGCTCCCCCCTTCAGGACCCCTAAAAAGATGTCTGGGCCCCTCGCTTGATGTATTGTTAACAGCGTTTCTTTACCTCCTCCTCTGGGGTTTTGGGGAGTGGACCAGCATTTTTGGTGCACCGTATTTTTAGTTTAAGGAAAAAATGTCTTCACTCAATACCTCACGAACCTTGAGGGGCTCCTCATTCCCCTTTATGGTCGCTTCCTGTGAGTCCCTCCCTTCCTTCCTCAGCCTGTTACCTTTTTTGACTGTTTTTATCAGTTTGGGTGTATACAATTGTGGGTTTTTCGGTTCATTCCCTGTTTTCCTGAATACTTGGGTTCTGTATTTTTTTCTTCACTCTGGACAGTTGAATTTGACCTCTACAAAACCCGAGAAACCATGGTTAGTTGGTATTCCCATTTGTTTCAGTTGCCCCCCCGGTACCAATTCTCTGGACTCCTGCACTTTATGTCATGTGTTCCACTATTTCGTTTTTCTTCCCCTCTAGCTTTCTTACCCACTGTATCTCTTTTTGGGAAATTTAACCCATTGTGTCCCCCTTTTTAGAAATTTGGTTCTCCGTCCTTTTCTTGCTTTTTTTTTTATTGTTAACTCAATTATGCGTTTTTTAAACCAGTAAAATGTGATTTCTACACCTAGGGGTCTTTTGTTTGATTTCTTCTATGTCCAACTGCTCAACTGAATATGAGATCAGCCTTATGGTTTTATCATCATTTCCTCTTTCTTGGGTTTTGTGCCCTAACATTGGGCTGAAGCTATCCCGCACCACCTCCGCATCTTGACTTTCCCTGTCTTGGTTCACCCTGTGGGCCCGATTTTCCCCTTCCTTAAGGTTGAAATTCCCCCCATGGTGAGTAACTTTACCCCTTCTTAAGTGGGGCTTTTTCCCCCTTGGCTAGGGGGGCCCCAAATTTTTTTTTTTGCCTCATGTATTGTCTTGGTCTCCCGCGTTTGTGGTGGGTTTTACATACTTTTGGACTCTTGATCTGAATTTTTCCCAAAATTATCATCACTTCACCCTGTCTAGGATCCCATCTCCTCAAATTTCAATGGATTTTAATGAGCAGGATCTGATATCCAGATCCTCAGGATCTGATATCCAAATGGGAAGATCACATCTGTTATCACCCCTGTGAGCTTTGTCTTTGTGAGTGCTCCGATTTTCAGGGATGCCCCCAAAATTTTTTTTCTGCCACTTTTCACCAAAATTTTTTATTTCCCCCATTTTTCCCTTTCCCGAACTGAATTCCAGGGGTAGGAGGGGTTGGTGCAGGCTGAGGGTGTGGTAGACAAATTTGGATATTATGGTAGGCTTTCACTATGGTGCTACGAGTGCTAAGGGGGGCTGTGGGCCTTGAGTGTTCCTTGTTTTTGGTTATTGTGTTTTGTTGGTGTGGGT